GATTTCGACTTGAACCATTACTCTACGAGAGAGGTAGAGAGAAAAGGCGATCGTTTTCTTACTCTCTGCATATTTTTCACTTTTGGGTTAAAGGTACGTTTTTTGATTTCTGATGGTGTAACATTCTTCTCTTCTTGAGTCTGTTTCTTTATCGAAATGGATAAAGATGTGATTTTTTGGCTTCTTGTCTATGTTCTCTCTCTGATTCTTCTCTCTGATACATATATCGTAGACCCAATTAGGTTTTATGAGTTAATTCTTCGAAACCCTAGAGTTGATTAAGCGAGATCCCAAATTCTAGGGTTTTCTTTTGATTTCCTCAAATTCGTTCTTATCTGGGTTTGATTTCTGTTGTTCTCAGTTAATTCGTGTCTTAACTCTTCTCCACGAGATCCAAGTTTGGATTTTTATTCATCTGTTTTGCTCAACGACCTTACTTTGTTTAGTGTGATGAATCGGATTTATGACGACTTGACTTATTGATATGTTGATGAAATGTTAATACTTAATGAATCTGTTGAGGAAGCAAAGCATTAACTTTTTGTGGTTTTGGTTTCAGCTTTGTGGCGGATTTGAGTCTCGAAGACCGGTAAAGGATTTGATCACATTGGTGCTTCTGACTGTTTATCTTGAGTCTTGAGGAGAAGAGCTTCTTCGGAGGGTTCTTTTTTCGCGCTTGTTATACGTCATGGTAATGCTCTCTTTCTATGTATATCTTGCTTAGATATAGAATTGTGCGTAGTTGGAAACTTATGCGAAAAAAGCCGTTGAAGTTCTCACTTACCTGTTCTGACTTTGGCTTCTTTGATGGTGTTTTTAATGCATCAGGCAAGTAATGAGAATCTACCACCAAATGTGATCAAGCAGCTCGCTAAGGAACTGAAGAGTCTTGATGAATCTCCTCCTGATGGTATCAAGGTTGTGGTAAATGACGAGGATTTCTCGCAAATATGTGCTGATATTGAAGGACCAGGTGCAGAACTATTTCCCTATCAATTCTGTCCTTGTGCAAGTTTACGCAACTATTGAGTGGTGTATAAAGTAAGATGTTCTGCTTCTACCTTGATTGCATACAGTTGGGACTCCTTATGAGAATGGACTTTTCCGTATGAAGTTGGCATTGTCGCGTGATTTTCCACATTCACCCCCTAAAGGTATGTCTAATATATGCATGGTTACTGAAATATAGTGACCACTGATATGTTATAGCCAGAGACACATATTGAATTTTTATAAAGGTAACTAATTTCTTGCGCCTGCCATTGTAGGCTACTTCATGACAAAGATATTCCATCCCAATATTGCTTCAAATGGAGAAATCTGCGTTAATACGCTTAAAAAAGATTGGAACCCTAGTCTTGGATTAAGACATGTTCTCTCTGTAAGATGCTTTATCCTTATGTATTCATTGCTTTGATCAGAGTAGTTACAACTTGTGGCTGAGTTTTTGTGTGTTTGTACGTGTTAACAGGTTGTGAGGTGCTTACTGATCGAGCCATTTCCAGAATCTGCATTAAATGAACAGGCTGGGAAGATGCTACTTGAAAACTATGAAGAGTATGCAAGACATGCTAGGTGAGCCATCTACTTTGGTCTCTCATATGTTGTCAAAATCTCGGAACATTCTGTTTTTTATTTTGGCCAAGAAATGAAGTCGAATTCTAATGGACTCTGTATGCAGGCTTTACACAGGTATCCATGCTAAACCAAAGCCAAAGTTCAAGACTGGAGCTATCTCAGAGTCAACGACAGCTCTAAATGTTGGCCAGACTAACAACGAGACACCTGGTGCTGCTACGGCAATACCCTCTTCAGTGGCAGACATGAAGAGAGTAACAACAACTAGTGCCCAAGACCAACAACAAGTGGCTAATGTCCCTGTAGCAGCAGCCTCTGTAGGATCGACACAGAAAAGGGAAAGTGGTTTGGCCAAAGTTCAGGCAGACAAGAAGAAGGTAGACGCGAGAAAGAAAAGCTTGAAGAGACTATGATCTCTCTATCTCTCTCATTTTCTCATTGTTCCTCGAACCTAAAATGTTGTTTCTTTTTTACCTTTAAGAGATCTGTTGTCTGATTCTGGGAAAGAATAATGTTTGTTAGTGAAGCCGAATGTCAAAAACATTTTGGTGTTTCAAAATACTGGCATTCGTATTCAGGTTGTGAATGCACGTTTCAAAAGTAGATAAAACTAGTAAATTAGGACGTTTGACTTGGAATCATCCGAATCCCTGTCGTCCAAGTTTGTCTCCTCCATCTTCTGACGTTTCGGGGAAGGAGGATCGAAGCTCGTCTTATCGACCGGTGATGACATCGCTGATTCGGAGACAGACTATGCAAAACCCTAACTTTTCTCTCATTTCACCAATTTCTTTATGTTTAGTTCCAAAACCGGACCGGACAATATCATTTGATCACTGATCGAACCGGTCCACGAGATCCAAGTTTAGATTTTTGTTCATCGATTTTGCTCAATAGTGTGAGTAAACGGAATTATGACGAGTTGACTTATTGATATGTTGATGAAATGTTAATAGTGAATGAATCTGTTGAGGAAGGAAGCAAATCATTACCTTTTTGTGGTTTTGGTTTCAGCTTTGTGGCGCATTTGAGTCTTGAAGACTGGTAAAGGATTTGATCACATTGGTGCTTCTGACTGTTTATCGTGAGTCTTGAGGAGAAGAGCTTCCTCCGAGGGTCGCGCTTATTCTCTTTTTCTATGTATACTTTGCTTAGAAATAGAATTGTGCCTACTTGGAAACTTATGAGGAAAGCCGTTGAACTTCTTATTTACCTGTTCTGACTTTGTTTCTTTGGTGGTGTTTTAATGCTCAGGCAAGTAATGAGAATCTACCAACCAATGTGATCAAGCAGCTCGCTAAGGAACTGAAGAGTCTTGACGAACCTCCTCCTGATGACATCAAGATTGTGGTAAACGACGAGGATTTCTCGCAAATATGTGCTGATATTGAAGGACCAGGTGCATAACTATCTCTCTATCAATTCCATTGTCCTGCAAGTTTTCGTTAATATTGAGTGATGTATAATGTTCTTCTTCTACCTTCATTGCATACAGTTGGGACTCCTTATGAGAATGGACTTTTCCGTATGAAGTTGGCTTTGTCGCCTGATTTTCTACATTTGCCGCCTAAAGGTATGTCTGATATATGCATGTCTCACTTAAATATAGGGACCTCTGAGATGTTATAGCCAGAGACGCATATGGAATTTTTCTAACGGTAACTTCTTGAGTCTGCCATTATAGGCTACTTCATGACAAAGATATTCCATCCCAATATTGGTTCAAATGGAGAACTCTGCGTTAATACGCTTAAAAAAGATTTATTTGATGACTGTTTAGTATGAGATCATATCCAGCTTCAATGAGATCCCATTTCATTTATTTGCACCATTTATCCAACTTCAGTTTGGCTTGTTTTGGGATTTGTTACATTTGTAGACTGATAATAATGTTAGCCTGGCTAATGAAGCTGAATGTTGAACATTTTGGTGTTCTATTCTACAATTTTGGATTGGACACCAAGAGATAACATTTAACAGAGACATCTAAATAAAGTTAAAATTTTAGAATATGTTCACATAAGAGAGACATCTAAATAAAATTTTATTTTTTTGGCACTTTTTTTTTTATCTATTATTGTTTGTTCCTAAATTTATTTTTAATAAAAAGATTACCGAAAATCTTGGAAACTATTAGAGGACAAAAAAAATTTGTTAGAGAAAGGCAAAACAAAACTGCAGAGAATTGGTTTACATTGGATTATTA